TTTATTCAGAACTTAGAAAATTATATTTACCGATTAAGTACCTAAATGCTCCAACCCGAAACAAATTTAATATATTAATGTCTACAAAAAATAATGATCTTATAAAGGGTACAGCAAAATTTTTGTATTACGCTTTTGAAAAAAGGAAGATTAACAATTAATATGTCTCAGATACAAAATGATAATTAAGAAACTCCCAGAAATTTTTTTTTATGCTTAAAAGTTATTTTCAGTTAAATTTATATAGTATTTGTTTAAACATTGTGCACATGCTATAATTTTGTGTAAATTGTTTCTCTGTATATATGTTTTTGCATGGGCCGGAGGCCTTAAAGCGAATAAAGTATTTGTATTGTATTGTATTGTATTGTATTGTATGACGATTTGTTTTCACGGCATGCCGGTTACACGTTTTTTTTCTTTTGTTTTCTCATTTAAGACAGATCTCCCCTTCAAGTGATATAATTAATGTTTTTCTATCAATAACTCTCACTGCAGTGCACGAATATTTTGGACAACCCTCGTATTATTATTATTATTTTCATTATTATTATTTCGTCACTATTATTGTTACTGTTGTTGTTGTTGTTGTTGTTGATTGAACTATTGTAACCAGGAAAGAATGAAAACCACAAAAATGTGTGATGTACAAGGTACATTGCGTAAATTTTATATTTTGTTTTCCACTGATTTATTAACAATACCCGGTGATTTCCTCTAACATTTTAGCATAAATATGATAAATGTATATAGGCATATGTACATACAAACTGTTCTAAGGCTATCAAAGGAACTCCGCAAAGGCCAGAGGTTTAAAAAAAATAAAATTTGAAAAAAATACAAATATCTAGTGAAATACTTAAAATGTAAAACCCTGCAAAAGATAAGAAATATATTCAGAATTGAAATGTATGCAGTTCTTAACAGGATTTGAGTTAAAAGCGTTGTAACGTTTTTCATTTTTAGGTCATTTTCACAATAAAAATGATTATTCTGAAGAAGAATAAAAAAAACCAGAAAAAACGGAGTGATGGGATTGACCTCAAAATTTGCACACAAGTTATTGGTTAAGACCTTCATTAATTGTTTTAAGAGGTTCTTCATCTCATTCAACTTTCTGCTATTTTTCAAAAACACAACAGCTTTTTGATCCAGTTCTTTTTGATCAAGTTACATATTTCTTTTGTTTACCATTTCTAACAAGATATCTGTAACTGTGTAAATTTAAAACTAATGATAATCATAATATGCGCAGTAATCTAATGATTTATCCTTAGGACTTTTATTCTAAAAAATAAAATTTCAACCTTAAGGAAATGCATGTACTTCATATCTTTAAAGTCAATACTATCAAATTGTCACTGTACATCTACATTGTAATTAAGTATTTTTTTAATAGATTATTTATCTCAAACAGTATAACTTGTTGATGAAACATGTTAAACGTCTACTAATAAAACCACAAGTATATGTAACTTTAAGTATGTTTGTTTTGTTTTTTCCCTATGTTCTATATAAGGAACTATTTCAGTAATGTCCAAAAACACATGATCTATCATTACTCCTCATCCTTGCTATGGTATCTTCTATTTTGTGCAATAAGGCCTCAATTGATATATCACTTTTATAATACCTCGGGTTTGAGGCCTAAATGGCTGAGTGGTGGATAAGGTCGGTGACTACAAATCGCTTGCCTGTCATCGGTATGAGTTCATATCTCTGACTGAATCCGAGGAAACTATCCAACTCGCTTACGGTGGTTCTAGCATGAATATAATGTACTAAGTTAAACCGAAGAAAAGATCCCAAACAAATATTTTGTCGAATCACATATAAAACACATATCGGAACATTGATACGAACAATTGATTCGTAGCCAGACAAAACAATGCAACATAGACTGTAAAATTCAATTACCTATATCCTGACAATTAGAAGTACAAAACCTTGACATAATAGATTCAATATTCTTAGAAGAAAATGAAAAAACACGAACTCTTGCTCGTACCCTGGCACCGTCTTCAGCAGAATTAGACCTTAAACACTTAACAGTACTTCAATCAGACATTAAGAAAGATGGAATTTCATAACGCCAAGATTATTGTACTGGGCGACCTTTCAGTCATCACTAAACCCATTGTGACATTTAAAGTTTAAAAGAAAAACGTGCTGCCCACCTAGCACCGTTTGTACAGTACTTGCGTTAGATATTCCGTATACAATATGTGTGCGTATATGAAAAGCATCTGTAACAAATCTCTTCCATTTCAAGAGATATAAACATTGTGGAAGGGCCAATTTTATTCTTTATACAGCAAATTAAGTATATACCACTTATATGTTATTCTATTAAGCGTAAAAATGTTTGCCTTTTAAATTTAAATTATAATCATGAAGATAATTATAGAACTACTTTAAAAATGTTTCTGTTTTTATTCCCGGATTCTTGAATGCAAGTATTTCTCTCTGACAAAATTGCATGTATATTAGTAATATAACAAAATATAATATATCCAAACTATATAAAACAAAGCCTGGGATTATCTTCATTTTTATTAAATCAATTATAGTTTTATATAATAATCATTACAATAGAAACAACGAAGAAACATGGCCGCAGCCATAGTAATGCTTCACAAACGCATTATCACAAGATTAATTTATCTAATAATTTGCCATTTGTACACAAATGAGCCGCGTCATGACAAAACCAACTTAGTGGGTTTGCCACCAGCATGGATCCATACCAGCCTGCGCATGCGCGCAGTCTGATCAGGATCCATGCTGTTCGCTTACAAACCCTATTACAAGTAGAGAAACTGATAGCGAACAGCATGAATCCTGATCAGACTGCGCGGAGGCGCAGGCTGGTCTGGATCCATGCTGGTCGCAAACCCACTATGTTTGTCATGGTGCGGCTCAAATTTATTGTAAAAATAATAACGTTATCACAAATAAAAATAAAAAAAGCAAAACAGCATTAAATTGTAAGCCAATATTTTCTGGCGTCCAATCAGAATATGCACACACAGATGATTTTACAAAACAAAACACGAATACACTGATTAATATAAATCGAGTACATATAATAAAAACAGCAACATGTATTAATTGTTCGTATTATTTTTTCATATTTTGTATCATCTGAGGAAGATAATAAAGCGAAACATGTATTGATATCTAAAATTGTGTTGGTTTTTTATCCGTTTGTCCTATTATTTATTTCAAAGACAGATGTAATAATAAAGGAATTCAAAGTAATATGTTAGTTAACTACAAAACTACAAAATACAAATGAACTAAGTGAATACAAAATCATTAATTTTGTGTTAGGTAGTTATTGTTATTAAATTTGATAAAAAATCTACAAGATGCTACATTATTGCATCAAATAAAAGCAAGCAGACGACCGATTGGAGCACATATTAACTTAAACAGATACAATGATGAGTGTTATAATTGCAGTCGCCTGTTCAACTACTGTTAAATTTACGGAATTCTTTATCCCAGAATGAGCACATGATATGTCTAAGTTTCATTTAGGCAAATTACTATTTACAATCGTACATTCAAATATATTTTCTATAAGGTATCTCACTTGGCGTTGAAAGTTTTAAACATCATTTATTTTGTTTTCAATGACATACATTAAATCCAATTTTGACATAATAACAATAATTCTGCAAAAATCACAGTATTCAACCCATGCCATACCGGTGATAATAGATTTCACCCGTGCGACCAGTGCAGACCAAGATCATCCGGTACATCAGCGCCGTCTGAGAATGGTCTGCATTGTTCGCATTTAAGCCACTGTTTATTTCGAAAATTTCTCTAAAATGACGAGTGTTTTTGTCCAGATTGATGGACATGTCCATTTAACGAATTCACATTTTTAACGTCGTAGGTATTGAACAATTAAAGGAACACGCATGCTATGATTGATAAATAAAATTTCTTTATTGCATTTAAATGATAAAGCTACTTCAGTTGCCAGGCAACGGATTGAGCTTAATAAAAAATAAATTTAATATTAAAATCATTACGTTGTGAAAAATCAACATATTTCATAATTTTCAATATCATGTACGAAGTGAATAAGCCAATTATTAAAATTCTGAAGATATATTTGAGTACGGCAATGCAGAAATCATTCATGAAAAAAAAACGACATATTTCGGAAATGCTCGTGCCTTGTAATGTCGAATTATTGTCGCTACGGCCAGGTCCAACAATATATGTCAAATCATTGTTTTTACTAATGCAATTTTGCTACGAAAATACGTGATGTTGGTCGAAGTCATACGGGATATGGTTGATGAAATACCGATTTTCACAAATATTTTAAACCACAGTATGTAGAAGCAATAAAATGAAATAGAATGACGACTTTCTAAAATAAAAATATTAATGAAGACGTAAAGATGTTTGTTTTAATAACAATATCACCCCCAAATAACAAAACAATAACTATATGTATTCAAGAATAAAAACATAACAATATAATCATAATAGCAGGCATATATTCAATTTATATAAAATACGAAGCAAACATATTCATCCATTACGTATTTTGCGGAGTTGTGATCCCTCTCTTAACATATTTCATGTGATATACACACATAACACAGGGATTAACCAACCGGCTTAATGTTGATATGGTTTCCACACGTCTCTACTTTATCTAATGAAACAAAAATGGGCGACACAAAACTTTAGTTAGAATGTGAACAGACGACATTTTATCTGACCCAAACAGGACATCGTATACAACTTGTGATATTACTGGGACTAACTTTAAATGAGAAATTTTATAAGATATGTTTAACTTTTAGTCATTTATTGCGACTCGGACAGATAGCGCATCATAACGTGGATAAAGTCCTTGAAACATGGTCTGGTATGCCCGTAAAACAGAGCATGAAACTAACTATTGTGATCTTGACTGAGTGCGGCACACTGCCTTATTGATGTTGACATTTGTGCTATGTTTCTGTTAGTTTTTGATGTTGTTGTTTTTTTTGTTGTTGTTGAGAATCCAAAAATCAATTGCAAACTAAAGCCCAGACAAACCAATTCCTCTTTAACCCTGAAGTATGACCTTTACCTTCGAGCTAGTTCATATTTATTGTGCATATCGTTTCATAAAGATTCACCTACTTCATATTATTTTGCGAATTCATCAATCCATGACACAGTTACCAATCGGACAACCATTACTAATGATTCCCTAAATATGACCTTGAACTTTGACTTTCGATTTTGGTTTTTGTTCGACACACACGGTCTCCTTGTGCTCGACAAATGTACCATGTTAATTGAGAATCTGATAACAATTTATGACGTGTAAGGACAATCAGAATTCTACTCGTTTTTAACCTTTGATCCCAAACTTCGACCTTGACCTTGATTCTGATTCTTAAGTGTGTCATCGAACCACATCGAGATAAACATTTGTCTCAAATGTTTCATGAATCCACAAATCTGTGGACAACTTACAACCCGGACAAGCACGATTTCACTAATGTCTACTTTGTTACTTTCCATCTCAAAGGACATGTTGAGATTTGACCTACAGTTTTGGTTTTAGTACGCAACATACGGGATATTCTAGCTTGACATTGGGGCAATATTTCTTAGGAATCTCAATATCCATGACGCATTTGCTGCCTAGACGAGTATAATTTAATTCATTATTTGCTTTTGACATCTTAATATACCAGTGACCTCCGAGAACAGTTGATGATGCATTGGTCTCATTCAGTTGGACATTATTGCAAGTTTGTTTACAACATTTAGCAAAATGATCTAAACAAATCAATTTTTAAACTAAGAACAACTTTTAAACAAACATGTTCGTAGGAATGTATATCGTTTATCTAAACAAAGTAAGTGAAATGTTAGTACACATTTTTATATTTCATAAAACAACTACACAATTTCACAACACAATACTTTCATCGCGTGTACATAAAAATAAAAAAAAGCTTGATCCACTGTTCCCTCTATAATTATAGTTCAAACAGTCATTTCTCTTTCCGGACATAGCATCAAAACATACATTTTTCTATCATAATTTACACGTATTTCATTCTAATGTTTTAAGTTATAGAAAATAAGCCCCTCTTTAGTACCAGTATTAGTTTCGTGGATAAACACAATACACATGTATATCATATCAAATACATCCACCGAAATAACTCTTGTTCCTTTAAAACACATCTCAAAATTATTATTTATATTAATACTCTACTTAAAATTCACTAGCATTATGTTTTCAGACATAGCTACCAGTGTCCAAACATTTCTTTAATCTTTCTTCAAGGACATCTATTACACCGTCCATTCCGGTTGATTCATCTGAAAGTAAAACAAATAAAATTTTCTATATTATTGCATTCAAACATAATAATACAAAAAAAATATTTGTTCAAATTTTAATGAACCGCTGGTCCAGTTAAATACTTAAAATTGACAATATTGGGCTTATCTTTAGTTCTGCAAATCAAGCGGGTGATTTTAGTATCTTATGTCTAAAACATGTTTTTTTAAACAGAAAAAAGTATACAAACCATCGAAATAAACCATTTCACATTTGTCCCGCACATCTCCTATCTTATCATTAAATATCTTGTTCTTCATAATTTCTTCTGAAAATTCTGCAAACTTCTTGGCTTGTTCATTCATTGCTTCTTTACTCACACCAGCAAATGGCTTCTGAGCCATATCGTGAAGAGCAATGGCAGGTGTGGCATACTCCCTGGCATAACACACTTTCTGCAGATATATTAAAATGTTTATTTTGTAGAAATTGCAATAATGTTCAGTAAATTTTAACGGACCAATCAGGCAAGTACTAATGATAAGCATCATTAATGTTATCATCATCATTATTATTATCATCATCATTATAATCGTCATCTTCATCATCATCTTCATCATCATCATCAATATTATTATGATCATCGTCGTCATCATCATCAATATTATAATCCTCATCATTATCAACATCATCATCATCATATTCATCATCATTAATATCCTCATCATTATAAGTGCAATTTCGGATTTGTGGTTTTATATCAATACGATACATTGCATTGTTTTGACCAAAAAAATGTTAGTTAAAATGGGCATTACTCATATATATATTTCAGAATTACGTCCATTATATAAGCAAGTATTTTAAGTTTCGTGTTGATACATTTTCAAGTGTTTGAATAATAAGTTGCATTCAAGTTTTTGCACGAAAATAAAGACAACATCAGACTAGCTTTAAAAAGGAACGTATATATAAAAAACATTTAGTAATATATAAACTTACTTCTCCATTTGACATGGTCAGTCTATACAATTGTAAACAATATTGTCTGAAACCATCAACAATGGGTTCCAAAGGACCAATATGTTCCTCATTTTTTATGGAACTTCCTGCGTCAGGAAAGGAACAAGACTTTGGAACGATAACATAAACCTTGTTTACACAAGGCTCTTTTATCTTATATTTTTCCTTTGCATCAATGAAGCGTTGTGTAAAATCTGGAAACAATATATCAACTTGGATTCAATTTACTTTTTGGTATATTTCGTAATTATTCTTTGTCATATCTTTCTATTTTAAGTACCCCAGTCGTTCTTTTTCAGAAATTCAAATTTTATTTTTTTAGACCTTTAGACCTCAGTAAATTTAAAAGGCAGTAACGTAATATTCTCTTATCAAACTATGAACACATTTTGGAAAAGTAAAAATCGAAAGTCTAAAGTTCTTCATTTTGATAAATGTCCTACACACATTAAGTATGGAATAATTGAAATATATAAAATGGTTTACCTCTGCCCTCTGGTGTCTTACGTGTCAGGTTATATGGCAAATAGTTTATGAGATAAGCATACGCTAATCCCTCATATATTTTTCCTGATGGTATTAACTCCATCATAGTCCTTTTCTCTGAAAGTGACATACAAATGTATAAACTTTTTTTCAAATTGACATGAAAAGAAAATAACAAATTTAATCATAAATATAATGAATATCTTTTTATATTTTATAAAAAACTCAAAGTTTTCTATTAATATTTTGGTAGGGGCATCTATTCATATTTTGGTAGAGGCATATATAAATGTAAATGATAAAATTAAGTTTACTTTTATAGCCACTAGTTCTTTAGGTCGTTCTTCCCTAAAATTGAATTTGCCAAAAATTGTCTTAACCAACCATATTTTAAAAGAATTTATCACTGAGAAAGAAACAAGTAAATAATGAGATAGAATCAACAATATAAATAAAGAGACATAATTAAATAACAAACCGTTCATGAATTTCCACAATTTATTCAAGTATTCTGGTTCGTCTTCCTTCAAAAGTGTTGTCCATTTCATAAGGTCCGGTATCTTTTTAATATCTGTGCCGCTAGCCAGTACTGGAATAACCTAACACAAAGTATTTATAAAAGTTAATAGCCGATAAGATATATTTACCGTTTTTACAATCTAATGTAATTTATACCTTTCCTGGCATAAATACATATTCAAAGAAATCGGACAATAAAAGATAACAAGAGGGTCATGATGGTCCTAATTCGCTAATCTGAGTCAGAATACTTGTTTATTTCGGTCTTTTGAAAGAAGATTTTATTTGTGTTTACTAAATGCATATCAGGAAAATCAATGACCCCCCCCCCCCCCCGTGCAGGGCAAATTTTGACCCCGGGGCTTTTATTTGAACAAACTTGGTAAACACACATAAGAAGATGTTTTGATGCTTAATATCTAAGCTCTAGCTATTTGTATTTTTAAGACGATTTATTAAGTTTTGACCCCAGGTCTTATATTTGAACAAATTCGGTAGACACTCACTAGAAGATGCTTTTGGATTTTTTAAAAAAAAGTTTTTTTTAGTTTTTAATATAAACATATAAAGGAAATCAATGACCCCCTGGAGCGGGGCCAATTTTGACCCGAGGGCTTTTTTTAACAAACTTGGTATACACTCACTCGAAGATGTTTCATTCTTAATATCAAAGCTCTAGCTATTTGAGTTTTTTTTAAACAAGACATTTAAAGTTTTTACTATATACAAATTAAGAAAATCAATGACCCCCTGGGTCATAACTCTGACAAAATGCATTTAAGAAATGTGAATCTTGAGCTGTGCCCTTGATCATAATAGAGCACAAAAACTTACAAACCCATGGGTGACGTGGAATACAATCAATTTTACAAATTAACAATAGTCAATGGCGACATTAATATGTCTATGCATAACCAAAATTCTAATGTTTCATTTGTTAATTTCTACATGTATAATCAGTCATAGATAAGCAACATATTAATGCAGTAAGCATTATAAATCAACTTCTCTTTAATCACAAGACGCGTTGTGAACTGAGACAACAAATTTAAGTCAATAAAGAACTATCAAGTATCAGCACATAAAAAACCGGTAGTTGTCCGTAAGAATAATGTTTATGTGGCAAGATGAGAAAATCAGTACCTGTTTTGATAGTGATAATACAACCAAAAAGGAAGCTTTATAAATGTCGGTCAAAAAGCAAAATTTAAGAAAAACCAATTTAAATATATAATAACTACCTGTACTTCGTTATCACAAATGGAATATTCAAGCGCTGCTAAATACTGCGCTACCATGGTATCGTCTTCCAAAGCATCTTCCGATAACACAAAAATATTCCAACGAGCGTTTGCAAGCACTTCAAAGTTCATTTTGCCTTCCCCGTTGTGGAATTTGACGTTCCTCTCTTCATCACCTAGAAATGTTACTATTTCTTCAGCTGTCGCGCGATCTTTTCCTTCACCCATATGAGTAATTGTTGCTGTAATTTCATTTTCTCCCTTTAATTAATAAGTGGAATTAGTTAAGTGTTTATTGTTCATTTACTATATCGGTAGACCAGCTTTTCAACTTGTTATGTTACATGTTAAAAAACACTTTCCGCCTGCAATATCTTTTTGATATCTTTGTCCATTGCGAAGATTACATAACACAAATAATTTATGTATTTATGTTTTTCCACAAATTTCAAACAGAAATTAGCTCGCAGTCATCTTTATTGATTTTTGTTTACAAATTCTCCGATAATTATTCACAACAAAACATAATCAAATATCTGATATTCTCCAAACAAAACATAATCAAATATCTGATATCAATTTTTCCAGGAGACAAACGAGGTAAAAACGAAAGTGAAAGCTGCAGTCCGAACAAATCTACATGTATAGAGATTTAATTCTAATTTACTAAAGTATACTTGTCTGGAAAACCTGGAATTATTCCCATTTTAATAAAATGTCACTAAAATTCCCAATCCCAAATGTGCGGTCATATTCCCAAGACAATGAATACTTACCGCCTTATATTCGGCTTTCTTTCTCGTAACGGTTTTGCTTTCTGCTGTTTCTCCTTTCTATATGTAAAGAATATCATTATAGTATTTTAATTTAAAACATAATGTACGAAAGATATTTATTCTGTATTTACAAGTATATATATGACGAAATCTTAACCGTATTTGCTATATTGGAAAAGGGAGGTGTAACTTTTGATGAGACAAAATGCATGACTTCTTTGGTAATACTTGCGTTAATCGACGAAAATGTATGCCAGTTAAAGCGAATCCACTAAATTAAAATAGGAAGCCAGATAAATTACGTGTAATAATTTAGTCAGCAAACGTTAAAAATATGTAGGTTTAATGTCAAAAGTAATTCAACACGGAAAAGGGAAGTGGTAGCTCAATAGTTTAGGCGTCTGTCTCTCAACTCAGGATCATGTTTTAAGTGGTTGTAGCTCAACTGGGATCAAGACCATGTTTCTTCATATGACACCTGTATTATAAAAAATGTATCAGAATACTAAGTCCGTTAACAAAAATCAAAAGTGTTTGTATAACTAAAAAACAACACTTACAGGCACTTTCGTGGTTAATTCTTCCATTATATTTTTCCATATCATATCTGCTAGTGATTCATCCACGTCTATAATAAAACAAAACATTCAGTTAGATTAAAAAAAAGAATGAGGCCACAATGTCTGTTCATATACCACATTTTTGTTTGTTTGATGAATTAACGGATACACCGAAACTTAAAAGGTCAAATTGCTACTTTGCAGCTTCACACCAGATGTCTCTTCGTGCATCATACCCACGACCTTCCGTAAACTAGATGTTAAGCTTCCACACATGAAAGAATCCAAAGTCCTTGACGGCATTCGAACCCAAAGCGTTGACGGCCAAGTGATTTGAAGCCGCCGACCTTAACCACTCGGTCACGGAGGCTACAAAATGCATCAGCAAATAATTACATAGATTTTTCACAATTTATCCTAGTTAAGGCCAAAGCATTCTATGATTATTGATTAGAAGAGTTTTTCCTGATCAAGTTCAAGGTGACAATGTCCTCAGACTGACAAAATACAAGGGTCATACCCTAGTCATGACAAACCTGCACGCCAAATCATAGGATTTAGCCAAAAGTATTCTGTAGTACACGGCCAGACAAGCTTTTAGCTGCCAAGGCCTCAAAAACCTTGATCTTTAACCAACTTACCTCAAACCTGATAAGGAATTATGCTAATTATAAAAAAAGAATCAACACCAAATCTTAGGACGGTAACTCAAGCGTTCACACGTTATTTTTCGCACAAGCTTTAAAAGTGACCCTGACATCAGACTGACTGAGCTCAAAATTATTACAAGTTACCTTCTTATCATGACCGACATCAACACCAAACTTCTGTAGTCCAAAGCGTTCTATATTTCTGGGTTAACAAGATCTTAGTTTTCAATTCAACTTTGACCTTTACCTCTGTCTGACCTCAAAATTAAAAGGGGTAAACTACTAGTTATGACCAATCTCTACACAAAATCTAGAACTGCATATCCTTGGTGTTTCAGAAAGGATTTTCCATATTTTACAATGTTCATATAGGGAAACCCCGTTACCCACGGAGCAGTGGCAATGTTAACCCCAGGGGCTTTATTTCAACAATCTTGAATTGTCTCTAGTCAATTTTTTATGCTAAATATCTACCTTGTAGCACGTATGGCATTAGAGAAGAATGTTTTACAACGGAGGCAGAGCCAATTTTAATCTAAGGGCCATTATTTTGGCAATCTTTGCCATTAGATGATGTCTCATGCAAAATTTCTCAGCTCTAACTCTAAGGGTTTAAGAGCAGCTATAAGGGTTTCAGAGCAGCGGCTTTTGAAGTTATTTTAATTTATATACAAAAAAGAAAAACCATGGAAAAGCTTTAAACAACATAGAAATAGCAAGGAAAAACAATAGTTACCTTTATAAGAAATAAATTTGGCAGTATCTTTGCATTCCAAGTTTTCCCTGTGCTGGACAAGTTCCATCAACGTCATCTTAAAGCGAACCATTTGTGAGTTCAGATCAATTTCAACAAAACCCATGTTGTTCATCTTTGACATTGTAGCCACTATGAATGGTATATCCCCTGTGAAGTAGAATGACTGAAAATAGAAAATAAGACTTTACATACACATGTAAACAATAATATAAAATTGCGTTTCTGTAACCAGAAGAATATCCGCGACGGACTAACTCTGTTGCCGTGAAACGCAGAAAATGAATTTGCGCGGAAAATTTAATTTATGCGAATTTCCTTTTTGTAGAATGTTGTTTTTAAGAATCGTCTAGAGTTGTTTGTACAAACCCAAAGAATTTTAGCTTATAAAAAGCTCATACTCAATCTGAATTAATAAAATATTGTCATAAAGAATGGAAAAGAAAATTATTGTTACAGTATTATTGATTTTACCTCATCGGAACCGTCCTTTAATATTCTGTATACAAGAGGGTAATATTTGCGTTGTTTGTCGCCATGGGTTTTGATAACCTCTAACGGTGTCCCCATCTTTTCTATGGTAAACTCCCCATATCGACCCTCTAATGGCTTAATTTCACAAGATTCAGGTAAAAAGAGGAAAAACTTTTGTGAGAATTTCCCTTGTTGAATGTGTTTTATTTTGTATTTTTCAATTGCATCTGCCATTACTGAAAAATGTTTTGCTAATAATTTCAATATTCAAAACAATATAAAGAGCTTTTTAATACGACAACTTGAAAAACGCACCCCTGTAATTCATGATATTCTTATGAAAAAAGTAGATTTTTTTTTTTTAAATTATTTTAACGCACCTGAAACAAATACAATATATGACTTTTTCCCTTAAAAAGGTTTTGATTACAACACCTGCAGAATATTGATATCGTCCAAATTAATATTGGGTAAATTAACTTAGCATTATTTTTATTGTTATTCTAAAAGCAAGAAAATTGTTGTTTTTGAACTTGAACTATTGATTAACAAAAAATGATTTCACATATATCTAATTGACGAAATCTAGTATCTCTCTGACAAATATGAACAAAAAGACCTTTACTCACCCGGAAGTACATGAGTCAAGTAACCAATAAAATAGTTAAACACAAGACCATGTGCAACATTCCCTGCCGGCAACAATTCCTGCATTTTCACACGCTCTGTAAGAACAACAACACATATGATAAAGACAAATACAAAAAACAGTTTATGTATGTTACCTATGTTGGCTGATTTGGAACACTTTTATACGTCGTGTTGTCGCCAGAGACAGAACGACAAAAAGCTAACGATGCACGCCAAACGATGCGTCGACGTGCGGCGTGTTGTCGCGATGTCACATTGTCGCTCGGCTCAAATCGCCGTTTGGCGTGCTTCGCTAGCGACAGGACGACAAGACGACAGTGCGACAAGGCGTCGTTTGACGCGTTTCGCTAGCAATAAGACGACAAGACGAAAAGGCGATAACGAAATAGGTTGTGTTGTCGCTATCGACAACGCAACTCGCAATGTGTACCAAATCAGCCACCATAGTTACCTGCAATGGGTAATAATGCCATTATATCAAGAACGTTACGATCGCTTCTTCAAAATAATATGGCAGGTACCTGGTAACATTAACTGCACTATTAAGCGTAAGTCTATGCCTTTTCAAAAAACTGAATATTTTTATCATTTTTTTTTTTTGCTTTGAGTTTAAGCAATCGAGATACAATGAAATACAAAGTAAATATATTTTCATTAATTAGGAAGAAACAGCCAGGAATTATAAGACAAAGTTCTACCACATCATCCCCATGATCAATAATCATCATCAATCATAACAATTATACAACTTTTTTCAAGTCAAATAAATAAGAAATCAGTACCATTGATTTTATCTACTAAAGTTTGTTTCCATGATTCTTTATTAAAATCCAACACAACATCCGGTATCGCATCCAACGACCCCTTCTTGAATTCTTCGCGTTCTTTTTCTGAAATTCCTTCGAAAACTAGACGAACGCACATTTCATCTTCACGATGCGATTTCTCAAGCCCCATCAAGATTTCAAATGTGACCCATTGTGATTTAATGGCATTTTGTGTCAATAAAACCAGAACTATTTTCGACTGTTTTACGGCATGTAGAATATTGTCAAAAACAGGACGCCCTGCTGGAAATTCGACCCCTTCTTTGTAATGGGCAAAAGTCTTTAAACCCATTTCATTAAGAGCAGTATTAATGGTATCTGCAGTCCCATTGTCTTCGCTGCTATGCACGAGAAACACGTCATATTTCTCATCTTGTTCCGTAGTGGACGTCGCCATTTTGAGGTAGTATGGTTTATTTCAAATCTTTATGACTCTTTATCCTATCAATCCAAAGTTTAGAATTTAACTTTCACCTCGTGACCTTCGATCTAATATAACTAGAAAAAAGAAAATAAAGTATGCAAAATTAGTGCATTGAAATAATACACTATGTTCTTTCAGCACACAGAACTTCTTAAACTAAAATCAATAAAATACAATCTAATTTATTGTTAATGTAGAAGATGTTTGTGGAGTAGTTACCGCCCTTGACTTTCGTTCAAAAGTTATGTGCCCTTTACCCGGAATACATTTGTTTAGATTATAAAGGGGAACCCCTAGAAAGTCCCTGATATTTCAATGGGGACATTAATTTTCAAATATCAAAGTGTTGCTTGATTAATACATGTATATATCCTTCACAAGATCACAAACATTGTCAGACGTTGAACACTGAAAGAAATCAGTTATAAAACTATCGTGTATATAGTATGATTAACATAATAACATATATAATACACAATTGCTGATCTAAATAAAATTTATAGTCTCGAAATAGGCGATTATTATTAAATTAAACTCCATATTTGGTTTAAACATAATTATTTAAGCTCGATTGCGAAACAAGTTCTTGCAACTTATATTAATCGATTTCGAGTCCGCTTCCTGGAACCAACCAGTACTGGTTTCATATGAAGAAACATGGTCGTAACCCGATTAGGGCTCGGACCAATGATCCCTGGATTGAGAGGCAGACACCTTAACCACTAGGCCACCGCTCCCCTCCATATTTGTTTGAGCACCGTCGACCTTCCATCATCGGCATGATTTGATAATATTTATTTATTTATTATATTTATTTATTTATTTATTTATTTATTTATTTATTTATTTATTTATTATATTTATTTATTTATTTATTTTATTTATTTATTTATTCATTTATTTTTTATTTATTATATTTATTTATTTATTATATTTATTATATTAATTAATTAATTTATTTATTTATTATTATATTTATTTATTAAATTTATTTGTTTACTTATTTTATTTATTTATTTATTATATTTATTTATTGATTTATTTATTATATTTATTTATTGATTTATTTATCTATTTATTATACTTATTATATTTATTTATTTACTTATTTATTTATTATATTTATTTATTTATTATATCTATTTATTATATTTGTTTATTTACTTATTTATTTATTCATTATATTTATTTATTTATTATATTTATTTATTTATTATATTTATTTATTATACTTATTATATTTAATTACTTACTTATTTATTATATTTTTTTTATATTTTTTATTTACTTATTTATTTATTATATTTATTTATTATATTTATTTAATTATTATATTTATTCATTTATTTACTCATTATTTATTTATTATATTTATTTTATCTATTTATTTATTTATTTATTTTTATTCATTTATTTACTCATTATTTATTATACTTATTATATCTATTTATTTATTTAGTATATGTATTTATTTATTTATCATATTTATTTATTTATTATACTAATTATTTATTTATTTATTTATTATATTTATTTATTTATTATATTATTTATTTATTTATTTATTTAATTATTTATTTATTTATTATATTTATTTATATGTTATATTCATTTATTTATTTATTTACTTGATACTTATTCATCATCTCTTCCGAATGTTTGGAATTAATTATTATCAATTATTTACAAAGTAGGTAAGCCTCCGTTAAATTATCTTATTTGCACAATATTTTGAATAAACGTGTATATATAGGTAATGCATATATAATACGTTATCATTGTGAAGGAACTTTATCACCATACACATTATAATGGAAAAGAAAAGAAACGAAAGAACTTATGAAACAATAAAATTTGTTTGGTTGCAGCTTCACTTGCGCATGCGCATTTTTTAAAATAGGTCAGACGTCGGTAAGACATCGATCGTCTATCTTAGGCAGCACACCACACTAAATGAAGCCGCAACTTCGTATGGCCAGGGAGGATTTCATGGATATAGTGACTATTGTGGATTTAAATGACTGGTTGTCTTTAAAATGCATTTTCAGCATAAAATTTGTTTTTGTGACATGTAATATGATCATTGGCAAATTCGAAAACATGATTAGAAATCACATGCTGATAATTATTGATGTCAAGGTCGCCATTGTTTGTAAACATTGCTTTTAAACAGCATGCTCGGTGAAAACAAGTAATTTTACAGGGGGGTACAAACTTTCAGCAATAGCAAAAAATCTACAAGGCCAAGCACCTGTTTCTTTGTGATATTTTGCATGCATAGGGAGTTGCTAAAGCAGTGACAGAGTTTTTGTAGACCGTATATTTGCAGGTATTTTTTGCCGGAGGGATGAAAAATGTTGTTTTGGGTCTCGGACCACTATAGATTTTTGGCTTTTACGGAATGAATTGGAATTTTTTTAACTGCCTGACTGTTGCACATGGGATGATTTCATTACAGATTTGCAATGGTATGACATATATGTTCTTAACAAAATGTGTTTTCTTTTTCCAGGTTGTGTAGTTTGGGATCAGATTTATCAGACATATTGCTTGTAGGACATTGACGGCAGAAACTTGAAATTTAGTGTGGAGTGCTACCTTATTGATATGAAAAACAGTGTCCTCATACAGTCAGTATTTAAATAGGTCTATTACTTTTAAAGTCATATTCAATTCTCTTATATAAAAATTAACGAATGTAAAATCACATGTTCAATAAAAACCTAATATATAAATATTCACTCAATCACTCAATCCATTAATCAAAAATAAACAATACAAAATAAAACCCAACAAATCTTCCATTCATCACGGGGTGCATAAACAGGGTAAATAATAAGGGAGCACAACAAATGCCATTAGGGAGGCAGTATGTATATACTGAATGCGTATATATATACATTCTCCGTATTTTCACTGTAAGATTTTATTTTTTCACAACAGTAAACATATTTTCCGTATGTTCACTGGTGTCTTTCACTGGTGACTAGTTTCTTCTAAATTCAGCCAATATGAAAGTCTTCCAAATTGTATTGTTAGAAAGGGGAAACAAAGGTACATAATAACAAGAAAAATTCAAGATTTTTCTTTAAATACAGGATTTATTTTCATCTAGTTTTATGAAAATTATCACATTTCACTCGTGGCTATTGCAACTCATGAAATTTTTATTTTCATACCGCTCGATAAAATAAATCCCGTATTTATATAGCAAAAACTTGAATATCCTCTATTAAGATTAATTCATAATTTATTATTTATCTTTCTTCTACCTTATTTTCATTCGTGAATGATTGATTGATTGAATGAATGAATGAATGAATGAATGAATGAATGAATTAATTAATTAATTAATTAATTTATCAATTAGTGAATTAATCTATCAATTAATTCATTTATTTATTTTATTTATTTAGATCTATTTTTTTCCATATAAATTCAGGCATTAAAATCAGTGTTTTATGAGCTATTAATATTATCTCTTTTCTTTAGTTAGTTAATTCTTATTTACTTTGATTGATCAAAGACATATGCATACTATATACATATGCTTGAAATTAAAATATTAAGTCCCCGGTAAAAGTAAAGATCCATCGCGGATTTACGTATCAATGATCAAATGAGTTTTTATTTATTTAAGAATTGTGTCAAAAATCATTATTAGTACAATGTTCTACATTTTATATGTACAGAAGAAAGAAAAATGTAAAGATGCTTCTGAAATATACATGTATACTGTACACATGCGTGTGACCTAATTTACATAAAGGTCCATGCGTGTACATAAATAACAACAATAACAACAGCAAAAAGGTGACGTAACATACATACGTAGTGCACAAAATCCTGGAGATCCCTAACAAATTTTCTATATCCTTTCCAGCATATACACAAACATTTCATATCAGGACATAAAACTAATCTGTGGAAACTCCTATGACGATTTTGGAAAGTACAACGGCTCTTCGGTAAAATCCGATAAAATACGGGATGGTATATCCTTTTTGTATTGGATAATCTAAACCTCGGTACTCTCCGTGACCTTTCACGAATCATTAAACGCCATTTTACGAACATTTAATCTATTAATAACCCACGCGGTGTATTTTCAGTAACGGATTTTCCATTTGAAATTTTGCAAAGGCCAAACAATAATTTTATTCTTTTCTTGCGACTCAGAATACATCTGATACATCTTGAAGTTCCTTAATTATCTAAAACAAGTTATCTTATCAGATAATTTTTATAGTTGAATTAAAAATTTTATCGATTTCAACAAACTAGAATAAAATTTGTATTTCCGAAACGGCCCTGTACTAAAAGCCTTCATTTTTTTTATATTTAGAAACGGAAATATTTCATGCGTAATTTCAGAATAAATTCTTGTTTTTATTTCCCGGGTGAAAGTAATTTAAACACACCATAAACAGGAAATTAACATATACGAGTATAGTACATTGGCGTAGCAGTTAACGGATGAGAAAGGCAAGCTCTTACGAATCTAACAATTGAAACAATTGAAAAATTAGGATTGCGGGGATTGGAGTGGAGGGGGGGGGGGGGATGTTGTACATAATTCATTGAAAGAACGTAAAATGTACCTCATATAAGGAAATAGCGTAAACTTGTGTGCGTAGCTTCATCGTCATAATCTATATAAAGAAATACACTTGATATAAAAAAAGTCCTTTTTTCCATTTTACAGGGACAACATTTTTATACCCCCAAGAAGAGTGGGGCTATAGTTTGCAATTTGTAATGTAGTATTATAATTAATCAACCAAAAGTGATCACTTAAATGAGCAAAGATCTCACCCATCATGTTATAAACTCTGTATTAAGAGTGGTCCATGATACTGGACCGATACTTGTTTATTAAATATTAGTATAAATAAGTAATAGAAAGAGCACCGAAACACGAGGCTATCTGATTTGTACGAGGGGGCGTAGCCCCCGAGTATTAATCAGATTGCCGAGTGTTTTGGTGTTCTTTCTCTTTTGTATCATAGTCAAACATAAAAGCACGTTCCCTGTTGTCACAATATGAAACCCCGGCAAAAATGAACCAATGAACGAACATCTGAATATGACATTTCTGTCGCTTTCTCTTTCTCTGCCGTCACAATATGTAAACCCCAGCAAAAATGAGCCAATCAATGGGCAGGCTCTGGAGTGCGGGTAACTAATACCCGTACTCTAGTTAACGCACTGTGCATGTATATGTATACGATTTAACCCTGACACATTTTCAACAGAAAGGTCTCCAAACTATGATACAACTATTTAAGACCCACGGTGCCGTGGACGGTACCTTGTTTCCAGTTTTCCACTGCCGTCAATGAACAGATTCAAACAGCATTTCAAGTTTTCCTATTTTTTTTTTTATTTTGACTGCTGGTATTTTATTTCATTAAAGTAAAAGTAAAATAGCTTTTTACGCCGGCAATTTTTTATGTAAGTACAGCTGATATTAATTCAAAAGTAACTGTGAAAGAAACACTTCATCAGTCTTAGCTGACAAAATAAAATGATGCACACGTGACCAGGTGATATGACAACTACATGGCTGATGTCGGGATGGAAAAGGTTTATGCGGTGAGCGAGAAAGTGTATCTTGGCCAAGATTCACTTTCGCAGCGAACCGGATAAACCTTCTCCATCCCGACAAAAATTATCCTGCTTTTTATCATGTTTTTAGAATAATTTAATGGTTTCATTCTTCTTTTTCCCCGATAAAATAGAATTTTTATGCAGTTTTGTTTTGCTGCTAAATATGTGACGTTATCTTGTGATGCAATGACTGGAGATAGATAAGTTTATCCGGGAAGGCTTTATCCAGCTGATGATCTAGACAGTAGCAGGATAAAAATGGTTTATCATTATTCTGAAAGAATTGCCGATGTCATCTTTTGAAATATTGTTATAATTACAAAAAAAATGTTTAATCCAAAGCTCTTCATCTGTTATTTATAATAAATACATTTTTAACCATAATACATTTCTGAAGCGTTTTAAATTTGACTTATAATAAGGTGTTTTAGTTCCTTAATTTCTATTTGACCTTGTTTCTTGATAGGTTGTTCCAGTATTCGTAATTAATTATTGTTGAATCACCCTTAGGATAATTTATGTTGCCTGCTTGTTTAATTTGTCTTTTGGTGTCTTATCTGCCTTTCCATTTTGTTCATTTCCTCCCTTTTTTTCTCGTTTAGGGCACACGCTTTCTTTTACTTGGGGACTATACGCCTCTTCATGGAATGGCCCGAAAGTGCCTGATTGAAGGTTCCATGATAACCGCCGTATGAACACATCTACGGATGTTTCTAAATTCAAATTTTACCAGTTCATGTTTAAATGTTTCTGCTTAAGCCGGTGATAGGGGGCGTGGACGGTAGCTTGCAATCACCACTACGGTCTAGGAACATGCTCAAATCGAGCCTGCAAAATATCATTAGGAAGCCATGTGCAGGACTTGCCAGATTATGCATTCTCAGTTCTTTTGTAAATTATTGTTTCCCACAAAACAATGTATTGCATGTTTCTTTGTCCTAAATAAGTCAATAAAAGGTCACAGTAATATTTTTATATGTGCTAGTAAAAGTCACCGTCCAAGTTCTCTGTACTTTTTGGTATACTTTTTTTTGTTAATTCCCTAAAATTCTGTATGGCTTTTGTGTGGAAATTTTGTTGAATCGAAATTTCGAAAGTCCGGTTAATGCATAAACTTGAATATTATTTTGTCTAAACCGCAATTGAAAATTCGTAAAAACCTTTTTTATTGTGATACTTTTATTTGCAATGACACATCCGCCAGTGACTAAAATAAAACATTAGAAAAATATTGGATTGTTTTACTACAGATTTCTCCCTTCCCAAGCACCAGTATATTAATATTTTCTAGGGAATAACAGTGGGAAATTCCGATCATTAAGAAATTATAAACAAGCTTTAATTAGTTTATTATCACAATTATTTTTTTCTGTCATAAAATTGAGGCTTTTAGCTCATATAGGGGCTTTCCATCTTGTTTTCGATGAGGAACATACCAGCTTAACTCTTTGTCTTATTTCATCAGGCGCGCCCCCTGTCACCAAACGTCAGATAAGGATGATTATTGGTTTTCGACGAAGTGTTCCCAATGGTACAAGCATCTGAGCAGAACGAAAGACATCACGGAAGCTTGCTGGATGTAAAATAAACGTTACTTCGGACCCACAGTCAGGGAAAAATTGGTTCGAAGATACAACGTTTTTTTCTTAATTGGGAACAGAGATTTAAAGACTGTAATTAAGTTGCAGAAATACAGTCCATAAGCGAGGAATAGTTCGTTGTTTATAAGAAATAGTGACAGTATATCTGTTACAAACGTTTTGAATATGTCGGCAGCATGTCTGATTCTGAGCAGCAGTTTTCATTTATATAATTATACATAGGAGTTTCCAGGCAAATAGATATCTCGGAGGTTGCTTCTACAAAATATGTGCAATAATAGATTCATAAGATAAGTAGTTTATAGCTATTATAAGGGAACAATCCTCACTTTTAAAAAATATCCCTCGAAAATTCATATGTGAAAAAAATAACCAAAATCTTACCGCGCTTTGTACGTCCAATTTTAGCAGACATTTTCTACTTCATCGCTATATATTATATAAGGACATTATGATATTTCAAAAGCATTTTAAATTAAAGGCAGTTTTGCAAGTGCGATTGACAATTTAAAGGTGGTTTCCCGAGTTTTCATGATATTTTCCCTATTTTAAGTACATCTGATTTTTTTTCTTTATATACATGTATTTATTTAAATATCTGATTTAACAATTTAACATGACACATAACATTCTTTTTCTGCTTTTTCTATAAAATAAGAAATAACGATTGAGGAGAAACCAACACGGACAAAGCAACGACTTTTGGGAGAGAGGAAAGCGCTTGGCGTCTGAATGCGGTTACTTTTCTTATGTGGACCTCTTCAGGGTCTACCTGCCCTCCCACCTAATATAAAAAATTGAAAACAATAAAAAGACCATCTCTTTCCGACAATAACCATTAGCTACTCCAAATACAACTCTAAAGCTGAAAAACGTCGAGAACAACTACGAATAGTGCACTATGCAGATCTTGGTGTTTTATTCGAAGGATCTCTATAGGGTATGACTAAGCACTATACTCACGCGTTTCAATACGTATGTCTGCATATTGACATACTATATAACTGTATAAAAGGGTACAAATTTTGAACATGTCTTCTTTACGTTTCTTAAAATTTTGAAATTATTGTTGAAATACCTTTATAAACTTTTAAAAGCGTTAGTAATGCAACAGAAAAAAAGTTGAAGCACTGGTGTAAGAATTTAATGCATTTCTGGTTTGAATCGCAAAGAACTGGTTTAGCTTTTTATTGTTGTTATGGACATAGGGGCCTTTTACAAAGTGGGCTAGCAGAAACATATATTTGTATTCGATATAACTACGTCACCTTTAATTAAAAAACCAGCAAAAAAACCAATGATCACTTGGATATTTTGAAGGAAATTCCTATGAAGTCATAATTTGCATACGGAATTTCCCCCATGTTTATATTTAGCTTAAATGATGACAAATGTATTATTTTTCTTAACGATCTATCCAATATATGCTGACAGATTCAATTTTAAAATAGATATATCGATTGATTTTTTCACATTAACGTCACGCGTCCTAAATATTATTGCGTTGCCATTTATTTTACAGAACCGAAAGTGGAAAGTCCATTCGTATTAATAATTCAAAACTGTACAAAATGCAGAAAAGATCTTGTATTTTAAATCTAGGCATAAACGTAGTATATAATCGCATTATTGAGGTATAGATTTAAAGAAAATAGTCTTTTTGAAACGAAAGTAGAAATTTTACACAGGAAAGTCCAGTTCAAAAAAACATGTTTGATTTTCCTATGGAAATTCCATTTTTTAAATACATTTTTTTTTGCGACTTGTGAGTAATTTTGGTATTTGTTCATGGGAAAACCAAGTATATAATTCTCTTTTACAGACTGATATGTTTTTATTTTAAGTTTTTCTCACATGGATACGTCATTTACAAAAAAGTAATTTTACTTACAGGATACCCGAGACATACTGACCCCAACGCTAAATGGAAAGATTAA